GCCACACATTGAACTATCCGTAGTTACAGCAAACATCTCTTCTGCAAAAAACAGCCAGATTTTTGCATATCTATAGCTTTCCAATTTCTGTAGATATCGAGAGCGGAGGTATCGTTTAGCTTCCTTTTCTCACTGATAACACTACCAATGCAAACCACCAAGTTAAATTCGATTTCGATGATAGATTAGTACTGGCGAATGCTATGGAGTCAAACTGCCTTCACCCTGCTTCCAGTTAACTTGCAAAAAAGATAGCATCGACGGCGTTGGCATGGCTGCTGCTACTAATATGCTACACACCGGGCTTCTACTGAGTGCTTTATTCTCCTCCGAAGAATGAGAAGAATATTGAAAATTTTGATCCTTGGTGACTGCAGACGAATCTATCGCAGATCTACAGTGGTGCATGGAGTCTCCTATCGAAAAACTTCTACTGACCGAGACGGAATCGAACCACATCATTTACATCCAGATGCGACGTGTTACCCACTACACCACCAGCCTCTGCGTCCTAGGAACAGCCAGACAGAATACATCTTTCTTTTTTACTAGTTCTCATGAACAGTGTGAATCTTTTCTTTTGTGGCAGCTTTTTCTTTGCCAATTTGTCGCAGGCTTTCCGCGAAACTTTTCTCATTTTATGATAAGTGATCCTGCGTTTTCAACAGTTTAAAAAAGAATCCAACAGATAAATCCAGCAACTGTTTAGCCCACCACTTATCAAAAATAGTACGTTTCTGCATCGCTAAATTAGAAACAAATTAAGTGTTATGCCCCCAATCATGGCCTAAACCGATGGCACACAAATCGTAGCCGACAGATAGCTATTACAAGTTATCATGGCTGGGCAGAAATCAACAAAAAACCGAGATCTGCAAAGAATGTGTATTCAGAAGTACAGAAAAATGAACAAGCTTGAGAAATCACTGTAACATACCGCATGGAAAATAGTGCATGTCTTCAGTTCTTTCCAACCAAACAACAAATACACGCTGGTCAGAGCTTCGCTTTACAAAATTCTGGCCGCTTCCTGGAAAACAGCAGTTCATGTTATAAGCTGCTAAAATTATCAAGACTACTCTAAAAATCAATGCAGGATTCGACATTAGTGCTATAATTAGGATTAATTACGCACGGCCATCATTTTCAATTATTACCGCCAACAAATAAGCGATGAAAAGCTGCTTTGATACCATCTGACAATACTGAAAAGTTAGAAATTTATTTCAGGATGCTACAATTCGCTTATTTTAGGCTTCCACGGTCAACCTGAATGCTACAGTCGGCTTATTTCGGCACAATGGCCAGAAATCTCCTCGAACTGATTTGGGACTTCGACAGAATTAGCACGAGGGGCAAAGCCAAGGCCCCCATTCTTAAGCTGTTTTGCTCTTCAATAATTGTAATACCATGTAACCTTTAAAATTTGGAAAGTGCCGTGTTTTGAGAAAGCGTGGTGGTACTTTTCCTATACGGTGCTCGGAAAACAAAGTTAACTTGCCAAACTAATCAAACGAGTAAGCTACACCCCAAAAGCGCTTCCCATGCAGCGATCCCCGTTGTCGAAGACAACAATGTCTGGACGACGGTGGACCAACAGGACTTGTGTCGGAATGACGGTATCCCAAATCAATTTGGCTTAGGTGTTCTCCCGTGCCGCTGAAAGTTATAGGCAGCCTTAAAAAAACATATATAAAAAAAAACATATATAATACCTTTCGTTTCACTGCCAGAATCCAGGCCAGAATGACTCTTTGCATGGGGCGCTGGAAGAATCTCCGACATAACTTTGTTTGACTGTCCACTACTTCCGCTGGCTCGTCCAGCTGATCGATCCTCGCTGGACGACAAGCTCAAAGCTCGGCCACCTGAAAATCACGATTTATCCATCTTACACTTAACAAATTAACTTACTCATATTACTCGCGGGCGCTAAATCATTCCAAAAATGACCGCTTTTGTACCGAATAATAACTTTGTATGAAAATTTATAATTAGGAAGCACTACAGTTGGTAGTAATTAATTTCAGAACAAGGATGATGCTGAGGCAATGCGCGACAGAAACAGCAGTTGGATTGGTCTTGTGGCGAAAGTACGAAACAGAAAGATTACGCTGAATAATACCTACACAATGTTAAATAAACAAAGGGATGGACATGAACGATTGATTTGGATACCTGCATAGTATGAAACTAATGCGGTAAGCTCGAAATACATAAAAACGGAGAACTTGTTAACTTCTTCCATAAAAACATAGCAAAAAAACCGGAGCTACTCGAAACGTCAAGGTAAATAACTGTACCAAAATCTCGATTCAACGTCCGATCCGGTTCGTTTTGTTCGTCAGAGAGGGCACCAAGAGCCGGGTCACAGTCACAAGACAAAGATGGATGCTTCCTGATGCGTTCTGTTGGAGTGGTGAATGCTACTTCGATATGCGAATCGGCCCACCACAAACAATGCGTAAAACCATCGATGATGTAGTGATCCAAATTCTCTTCCATCTCACGTGGCACTAAATTTAGCAGATGGTTTCCAACCTTCATAGGGATGAAACACAGACAGACCAACCTACATATTCGATGTATATGACTGCAAAACATGTCTTAAGATGTGTACCACATTAGTAACCCAACTATCTTTCCCATCACAATTCACTAGCAAATTCCATCCTCCCACCCAGAAAACTTACAGAATTCAGCCGTTCTTAATTTTCTTTGGTTTATAAGGGCCGTTATTTCAGAAGGTGTAGTTCTGGCTACCAAAAGCCGCAAAAAACCACTTTGGTTCGGCCTTCTGTGGCCTCTCTACTGCTATTCCTCTTTATCTGTTCATGGAACACTCGCCCTACTGGTTTAGTGATTGGACATCCTGAAAGCCTTGTGGAGTGGGGACGGAACTTTTTCATCGAGCCATCTGATTTCTAAGAATTCTCACATATATATTTATTCATTAAAACCAAAAAAAGTAAAAATCATTTTGGTAATTTATTCTTTGCGAAAGAAGTATTCCGTAGATGGATGAGTGTGTAATTTTGCCAACTGTATCATCGCTAGCATGATCGCCGATGATTTCTCCATCTAAGGATCGCTTTAAAAAAAAGCCGATAAAGGTTCTAACTCCCTGACCTACAGTAACACCAATTAACATCAAAAAATGTATTATAATTTGCTCCGTAATTTAGTGGCCATGAAATTTTTCGGCTTCTTTGCAAAATAATCATAAATCTCAAATGGTTCTGCAACAGGAGAAAACAAACAGAAGGAATAATTTCAGCAAATACAAACTTCGTTCAGCAGAAAATGCAGTCCTCCAATCACCGGTCCAATAGGGATGCGTTGCCACCTCAACACCTTCTCCCAGTTCCGCCAATAAACCACAAAATTGACTGCTGGTGGTTTGCAAATTCATCTAAAATTAAACCAAAAAGTTCATAAAGTGAATACAGTAAAGTCGATGCAAATTTTTGATCAAAAACAAGCTCTTTGGGTAAAATTTTTAATTCTAAACACTTAAACGTTGATTCCCCTTAAATAACAATATAAAAAAAAACCTTAGAAACTGCCAAATTCTGTAACGAAAACGAGAAGAAATAGGAGATAAGATAAAGTACAGAAATAAGTAACAGGAAAATGTTTTAAAGTTCGAAGAAGAGAAAAGCGAATAATATTAAGAAATTAGTAGAAGTAGTAAAATATTTTAATAAAAATGGTAAGAAATGATAAGAAATGTTTTGGTCCACTAAGTCGTACACATTTCTTACTATTACCATAGTTGGATCTCGTCAGTACGACGATTGTAGTAACTGGTGTAAATTTGACTTTAATTAGTTATTTTACATTGTTCTAGATAATTTTATAAGAATAAGTTATTTTATAAGAATACGACTTCATAATAAGGAACTGAAAAATGCACCACGTTGTTGAGAATATCCACAGCTGTGCGTTGTCCGTCTCGCACATAAAATAAGCGAACACTCTGAAGCAGCTTGGTTGGTGATCGATCTACCATTCGATGCATGTCGCGATAAAATTCATCGCTAAAATTTGTTTTTTTTAAAAAAAAATTTTTTTTTTAAATTTCTCGCAAAATTCTCACGCGCGAAAAATCTGTGATTTAGTATCTCGCTTTTTGCTCCTTGTAACTGAAATTCATTTCATCCCTAAGGCCAAGAGCGTTAAAATTTCCCGCATTCGAACGTATAAAGTCATTCTCACACATTATTCAATAGTTCGACCAACAGCGAAAGCGATGAAAAATAAGAGGAATTACAAGGATAAAAAGCTGACACAGAAGACGAATCGAGGAGCAGAATATCACCGGCTTTATAATTTTCTTCCGAGATTAGTCCCAGATCATAAAGAAGCACACGACCAGCATTACAGTCAGTTGCTGCCCTGCAAATTAAACCGTTGAAACTTTGGAAAAACAAGAAACACAGACAGGTTTCGTTTAAAAAAAAATACAAAATTTTCACTTTTTCGGTTCGGCGGGTTTGGAGAGTTCCGTGAAAAGTGGCTCCCGAAGCCAAATATTACGATCATCGGCGGCGCGCAAACAACTCTCCCCTTGTGACATCCTGCTTCGAATTTCTGTTAGCTCAGCTATCACTCGATCCGTATCCGGATTCGGTTGCAGCGGTGGAATCACGGCATCTCTAAAGAAAAGCACAAAATTTTCGGAAAAGCTACAAAATTTAAAAAAAAAATTACAGGACACGCAATTTTGAGACCCTTGAAGTGCTCTTCAGCAGCTTTTACTAACGGCTATTTAACAAGTAGCTTGAAAAGAGTGCCTTTTCGTGGGGTTTGCTGTTGGTATTTTTTACAGGTTCTGCCGTTGATGCTCCTCAAACTCCAAA